GCCACCCTATCTTAGGAGCGCCACCCTATCTTAGGAGCGCCACCCTATCTTAGGAGCGCCACATTATAAAAGCCTTTGGATGCTCTTTGTAATGTTTAATTGAAAAAAAAAGGTTATATCCACAGGAATGGGATAAGGGGGGAGGCGTCTTTGCGGTTATGCAGTCATTGGTCTGACCTCGTACCGAAATATCACCTCGATGGCGGGTCTGTGTCATGCCGGACTCGGCGACCGCGGCAGTCCGCACTCATCCGCCACAGGTGCGACGCATTTGGGCCTCGTCTCGGTCGATGTTGCACGTTGAGTTTCGCGTCGGAGCCGCCCACACTGTGCCGTACGAGAGCTTTTAGCTAACTGCCCGTGTGGAAATAGCCGGTAGTGATAGACTAGGTGGGGGGATGGCGTCCTGCTTCGTTAACCACCCCCATTCCACTGCGTTGATTATGCCGGGGAGAGAAATGCCCCATCCCATGTTTTAAAGATGATTTTCTTGTTTTTTTTTTGTTAGTGTTCCACCAGCTGCCTAGGTCTTTAACACTGTATAGCTTTGGGGTAGTTCACTTGTAATGTTTGTCTCTCTCTCACCCCCTTCCCCAATGAAAAATGAGTAATGTACAACACGCTATTCAAACCTGCGATGGGTCGGCGTCCCATCTTGGGCTATTCCCTGCCCTGTGACCGTAGTTTCCTTGTTAGCTTCCCGGATCCCCGTGACCCCGAAGCGGGTACAGAAGGTGGATGGAGGGATGGACAGCATTCAAACAGGCATCACGTCATCATTTCGCCTCTTCCACGTGTCAGCCCACTCCTCTACTGAAGTGTAATTCTGTGGTGTCACGTGGTTGGTCGCATACAGGCATAGTTATTGTTAGTCTGACGCAGGGAACGTCCCTTTTGGGCACAGATTGCTCTTGAACTGTGTGTACGACAACATCATCCCCCCCCCCCCACCTTTTTATTTTAAAATCCCACCCCCCCCAGCTACAATAAGCCAGATGGGTTGCATTCCATGTTCTCCACCAGACGTTCGTGTACAGTCCAAATGCAGAATCTGTGTCCCTTCCCTCCCCCGAAGACAGCAGCTCATGTAACCTGGGTTTTTTTAAGTAATACAAAAAATTAAAGTTTAAAGTATTTTGAATTTTAGTAGATTTAGTATAAAGTTTTGAATCAAGTGAGATTTGTCAAATGTTTATACGGTCCTCTCTCCGAAAGACCTATTGCCAAATTGTAGCCACCGTGCATTCCCCCACCAGCAGTGCGAACTGGACAGGCCCGCGGGGGGGCGACAGGCCCGGGCTCGTGCGCAGCACCGACGGCCAGCTTTCTGGCAGCCCGCCGCGTCTCCGGAGGGAACAGCAGAGGCTGTGTGCTCTCAGTCCACGTTGCAATGTGCTGTCGTAATCGTCCTCGGAAGTGTGTTATCAGAACAGCTAAAGTTATATAGTAGACTCTGCACAATGACTTTCATATCTTGGTACTTTCACCATGGGTATATATATATTCCCCCCCCCCCCAAATCTGTCCCAATAGGTTTTATATTCCCAGTGTTTCTTCTTGATTGGTTTTGCTAGTAATCCTGTAAATTGTACATTTTCAATATTAAACAGTTTCTTTTGTACGACCTGAAGCGGATGTATTACGTTCCCTTTAATAAACTGTTCTAAAACATTTTTTTCGTGACAAATCTCTTCTGGTTAAACGTGTTCAATGTGAAGCTAATTACAGCACTTCTGCCGTCACGGTAATGAGCAGTTATTTAAAAACTTTATTAGATTTTTTTTTTCAATACAGTTAATGTGAATAACTTCCAGAGTTCACTGGCAGTCCAGCAGCACATCCCAATTACAGGGGGATGTTCGCATGCTTCTTCCAAGGGTTGGTCTGCTTCTTGCTGGCCAGCACCTCCAGGTCCCGGCAGATCCGCTTACGGGTGGCTGACGGCCGGATGATGTCATCCACAAAGCCTGCAGTGCGACAGATGTGGTTACCGTGGCACCGGATGCCCAGAGACCGAGGTCCTCCTTTGGCTCTGACGTACCTCTGACAGCTGCGGGGAAGGGGTTGGCAAACTTCTCCACATACTCAGCTTCCGCCTCGGCCTGGTTCTCCTTACCCCTGAAGATGATCTGAACGGCACCCTGGGAATCCAGACAGAGCAGAGAGCACACCCCCCCCCCCTTAGCAGAATGCACAAAGGCACCAATTGAAGAGTGGCAGCATTTCTGACCGCAGTTACCTTGGCACCCATCACTGCCACCTCGGCAGAAGGCCACGCGTAGTTCACATCTCCACGGAGGTGCTTGGAGCTCATCACGTCATACGCTCCTCCGTAGGCCTGTGGAGTGACCCAGCCATGTCGGTAAGCAAGGCCAACTATGAGAGCATGTGTTAGGGCACCGTGGAGATGGGCCTCTCCAAACCTTTCTGGTGATTATGGTGATCTTCGGAACAGTGGCTTCGGCGAACGCGAAAAGTAGCTTCGCCCCGTGCCTGATGATGCCGCCGTACTCCTGAGCCGTTCCTGTGGATCCGGGGTTTAACATTTGAGAACCTATAGCCTCCAGGCAGCTGAGAAAGACGGCTAAGAGCTGAAAGCTGCTCAAAATGTAAGTAAACTTCCTACTTTTGTTTTTGTACCAGTCGTCTGATATACAGTACAGGGTGTGCATTAAATTTAGGGTAGCCATATGCCAGGCAGCGCTACGCTAACTAGAACGAGCTGCGTGCCATGTAATAGTTTCTTTGGCATAGTACCGTACTGTACGGTAACGACCAACTCGACCTAAAAGTCAGCATGATTATTCTACTCCGACATACGTCCCTTTCCACGTACGACCTCTCTGGCGGAGCAGAATGCAGTCATAAGTCTGGGACAGTCTGCATCTCTGCAAGGTTCTGGGACCAGGCCAGGCTTGAGTCAACCAACCCTCTTCCTACCTGGCAGAAACCCTGGCACGTCCACGAAGGTGATGATGGGAATGTTGAAGGCATCGCAGAAGCGCACGAAGCGAGCCCCCTTCACGGACGAGTTGATGTCCAGGCAGCCTGAAACGGAGCAGAACCACCATCCGTCAGCCCAACGCCCCAATGAGGAAGTCACGCGCCGACACACACTCCGCGCTCACCGGATGCCACTTTCGGCTGGTTTCCCACAATCCCCACTGTGCGGCCATTCATCCTGGCGAAGCCCACCACGATGTTCTTGGCGTAGCTAGGCATAATCTCGAAGAACTCCCGCTCATCAACAATCTGCGAAGAGAAGGAGCGTGGGCACTGATCTGACAGAGGGCTCTGCGGTCACACGATATTTCTGTAGATGGCCACTTACGCCGTGAATAATGTCCAACATATCATAGGCCTTGGTGGATTCTAACGGAACAACAGTGTCCAGGCCTGGCACAAGTCTATCACTGGAAGGGGGGAAACAAAAATAGCCTATCACGATTTTCCCACAATTCCATACTTTAAATAAAGCAGCAGCATTAAGTCTGCCCTGGTCCCATGTTCAACTGAAAGCCAACCTGCGTGTTTATTACACTGTTACATTGTCTCAGCTGAAGGGGTCACAAAATTTTGTTCTAGTTAAACAAAACTGTAATTATTGACTAAATGTTGCTGTTCAGACTACATAGTGCAAACGAAGATGATTTGACCACTGTTATACATAAGAACACATTAGAATCCCCCTGTACAGCTCTAATCCAAATATTATCAGAAATATTTAGTAGCAGGTTGTTCTGTGCGTAAAACACCAGCAGGGGGAGTCCTTTCCCTAATTCCGATTCACCATTACCTTGGATCGTGACACTCCATTACAGGAGCTGCGTCTTGGTTACTAAGAGGAAGGAAGTTGAAAAAATCTCTGAGGTTCAGCAAAGCATCAATGTCGTTCTCAAAGGCTCTATGGGCAACGCCTAAAGCAAATGGAGAAAATAAAAAAAAAATATCGAACCACTGTCGAGTTATGACATTTTTGTTGCATGCTTCCTGAAAATACAGCAACAACATTTTATTTGTTAATTTATCAATATTTTTGTTTAAGAACTATTTTTAAAAGGTTATTAAATCAGGTGGCTAATAATGCCAAAGGTCCAGCCAGGGCTGCCTTTATGGCCAAATTAAAACGCCTTTGATTTACAGGGATAAAAGTTGGGAGGATGTGCCATCTGCACGCAGGGCATTGCCAACCAGCCGCCACTGGCATCACTCACCAGACACAGCGGTGTGAGTCTTAGCTCCTCCCAGCTCCTCCTGAGTCACATCCTCATTAGTGACCGATTTCACCACATCTGGCCCGGTGATGAAGAGGTAGGACGTGTCCTGCCAGGGTGAGAGGTAAAGGTCTGTGTGCGTGTGGTAAAACCGCACCCCCATCAATTATACCAACCAGACAAAGAGATCCTCCATCATAAATGTTTTGAGTTCAAATTTCAAGTTTTTTTTTTTTTTTTTTGTCGTCACGTGTTCTGAGGAATTCTCGTGCTGTATTTGCTGGGTAGTGGACAGGTGTTTGGCGGGCGGCATAGGATCAGGAACAGAAAATGAGGGGTAAAAGACAAGACAATGCAGCAGAAAAGCAGTGCAATACAAGAATTTTAGTCATCCCCAAGGCGCTTAACAACAGTATGAGACAAAAAGAGAAGGAAGGAGGGAGGGAGGGAGGGAAGAGAGAAATAAAGAAAGTGAGAAACAAAGAAAGAATGAGAGAAAGAAAAACAAAGAAAAGTTCACTTGGGGGGGGGGGAATACATATTTTTAAACATTGTCTGCAAAAACACAAAGTCGTTTCAACACAATGGACTGTGGGAGGCTTTACCTTCACCATGAATGTGAAATCTGTTAAGGCAGGGGAATAGACAGCCCCTCCTGCACAAGGACCCATGATGAGGGAGATCTGGGGAATGACTCCGGACGCCGTTACGTTCCTCTGTTCGCGGAAAAAAGGACAGGTGCTGACAAACACATCGCGCTCACACCGCACACAGTCCGCATTCATCTTTTATTTTTACCAGAAAAATGTCCGCATATCCTGCCAGTGACTCCACCCCTTCTTGGATTCGTGCTCCACCAGAGTCATTGAGGCCAATGACCGGGGCCCCCACCAACATGGCCTGGTCCATGATCTGATGGAGGAGGCAGAGTCTGATGCCTTTCTGCTCACAGCACAATGCTGGTTTGGTAACCAGGCTAACAGCTACCAAGAGTCTGCATTTTACTTCATTACAAAACAGAAATTCATCGGTCCGTGTGACATTCAGCTTTACAACGAAGACAAATTGGGTACAACTGGCCCGAGGTTTCATTGCCATGGTGATGCTTTATGCCCATGTGACGCGCGAGACTCTATGACATCACCTTACAGATCTTCTGAGCGTGTGCCCCAGAGAGGCTCCCGCCGAACACCGTGAAGTCCTGAGGAATTCACAATGAGAAAAGCAGTGAGGTTAAACTTGGTCTCGATGAACCGCCAGTAAAACAACAGTGTCCGGTCGCCTCAGAGATATACCTGGCTGAAGACGTACACCAGCCTTTCGTTAATCCGTCCCTGTCCAGTCACGACACTGTCACCTGGGTACTGCAAAAATTATGTACTTGAATATTTTATCAGGAACAACTGATGTCATAACCTGCTTTTCACCAGATTCTTTCAGATCTTCATTAAAAATAAGCACCCACAAAATAATAATAATTTCAACAGGGTGTGCATGTTTATAGGACAAACACAATATAATTACTGGAGTAAAGTTAAAAACATTTGCGGGAATACTTTATATGTAAAGTCATAATTTGTCTGGATCTTCCCCGATTAGTATTTAGGTGAATCAGAGCGTGCAGGACACGTACCTAGTTTGCCATAGTACAAACCGGCCATGAATATCGATTATTACACATTCACTGTCAAAGTCATGCAGGACCAAGGAGGCGTAAATTAACAGATCACCATGCGAATACGTATATAACACTGGAAAAACACGCGCGTGAGCAACCACTGAAATATGTCTAGGTTGCTTGGCTGCTTTTCGACTTTATTTTGGCGTCCTGCAAATATACTCATACAGGAGGTACAGCAGAACCTTATTGTGATCGGCTTCCATCCCAAAATCTGAACATCGGTGCTCCACAAACATGTCATACTCCACAAAGGAATCGGGATCCAGTAACAGTTCGATCCTCTCTCTTGCGGTCAGCTTCCCCTGTTAGACATGTAGGAAAGCATTGCGAGTGTACTCTGAATCATGGGACAGGTCCTTCAAATATTAATACTGATTTAAATACATAGTCCAGCAAAGGCATGCAACATAGATGCAATGACACACGCAGAACACAGTTTAAACCTGGTTCATTTAAAAATGCCGTGAATGACCTTTTATTGTGGTCACTTCACAAAAGCAAAGAATGGAGGTGAGAGTTTTGACTGTCAGTTTACAAGCGATCAAAACTTTAGATTTACCCTCTGATGTTGTGCATCTATTCTCTTCTGACCTCCCCCGACCAGGGCCGCCCTACGCTTCTTCTCTATTCGTTCTTGCACAGAGAGATGCCCCGCACAATATGAGCGCATCTGCTGCTGCGTGACCGAGCGGACCGCCGAAACGGCGGGTCCATATCTGCCGGTTCCCAGGCCCTTAAAGGCGTATAACCCCCGCAGAAATCTACCACCGCTCCTCGCAACTGTGAAAGCCGCCATAGTAGGGCAAGCACAAAAAATGATGGCCGATCGGCTTCCCTGTCTTAGCCAATCGTGTCTTAATGCTTTTAGTCAGGATGACCAATAAGAGGAGACGTTCAGCTAGAGGGGGAGGGATTTCTGACGGCCGGAAGTTAGAAGAACTACGTTCAAAAAGAGGCTTCGTGTAGTTCTACATTCGTGGCTCGAATGTCACGTTTCAGAACTACAATTCCCAAAGTTAATTTTTTTTAAAACCGGAACTTCGGTTTTATCTCTGTGTGAATGGCTCATTTCTGCCACACCCATCACACGCCCACTTTCAAATATATGTCGCCTGTTATACGATAAAGTCTGTAGCCTTTTTTATAGCATGAAGTATTTATTACGACATTTTGGGTATTATCTTTGCAATTTAACTTTGATTACATTTTAGCATAGACTTCTTTAACTAGATTATTCCTATACATTACTGTACCACAAGAAAAGCATCATCATAGTTGCAAATGATAGAAAACACAAATAGTGTGACATCTACAACTGAAAACAACTGAAAAAGAAAACATTACTATAATTACAAATTTTGACCACGCTAAACTAATTAATTTAAACATTCTTTGTGATGGCTAGTGAAATATTTTATTGTACATGTTTCCATCAACACCTCCCAAACTATTATCCAGTCAAGTGCTCTGATGGAGGGTGGGATCCTATGTCAAGTAGCAGAATATATTATATTATATTATATTATATTATATTATATTATATTATATTATATTATATTATTGTAATGTATTGTATTGTTGTATATTTACATTTTTTATGTATAGTAGCAATTATTATTCTTGCACTAATAATCACTTTGACCTATACAGCTTTTCGAGGTATTGACCATTTGGACAGCATCCATAAATGCAGTCTCTACCTCCTTAATCCTTGAGTATTATTATGTGTATTATTGTGTGTATTTTATTCGGAATCAAGAATTTATCTATCTATCTATCTATCTATCTATCTATCTGTCTGTCTGTCTGTCTTTCTGTCTTTCTGTCTGTCTGCGTGTCTATTTCCATGCATAGCAAACTGCACCAGTTTTTACTGAAGAAAAATGACACGGACGTATGAATTATTCTAGTGATTGTAGGGAGGCGGAGTAGCTAGTAGGCACGTTTGTGTTATATTAATGCGAAAACAAAACAGCAGTCCTCCACACGAACATCAATCTACTCTACATTCTGATTGCTACCAAGCGGGTTAAAAACAACACAGTCGCGTAACCACGGTTACCATTTCTCGCGGGATTTCGCGACCCTTTCCTCGCGAGATGTGGGTCACAGCGCCCCCTCCTCCTTCATTTGCGGAGAGGAAAAAGGCAAAGGAGAAACCTCCATAGTTAAGCTAGCTATATTACACTATTGAAACATCTAGCGATACGTAAACACACCGAGAGCAACGGGATTATTTTTCGTGATAAGCAAATGGGATTTAATGAAGCTGATTTTTGAAATCAAACGAGCCTTCTCTGGTTACGCGGAACTTATCGGAGAGGGGAGTGAAGCGGAGGGATAGATCCAAAGAAAAGAAAAAAGCGGCCTATTTTTGTTCCACATATTCCGGAGCCAGCACTGCAGATTTTCGTCCTCTTAAAAATCTCAGCATATATTCTGGCCTTTTGCGCCCTTCGTGCACTGCGTGGAGCGACTTTTCCCGCATACTTCCTGCTTTCTTGCAATTCGGATGTTCGGGGGGTAAATACTGGATTGGATTGAGTCAACTGGCCTGTTTTTTTTGTTTTTTTTTTGCAGCCCTACCGCCATGGGAAGCTGTGGATAACAAACAGACGCGCTCTCCAAAATAATCATTTATAAATTGCTAAATGCCCTGGACGGACAGTGGTTTCGGGGGGGAGCAAGAGCGGCTTTCTCCGGAACCGAGCGGGATCCCGGGGAGGAGGTAGAGAGGCGACGGGCGCTTGGGAACCGAGAATCCCGCTTTGAACCCCTGCTTGCTGCATCCAGCATTAGCGAGCAATCGGGGGGAAAGCGGTCGGGGGACTCGGCGGCGGAGCGCCGCCCGCGTATTGTTGAACAGCCCAAAAAAATTGGACTGGCGTGGCACTTAAGAGATGCGAGTGATGTCTGGAGAAAGGGAGAGTTTATGCAGATCTTAATCACGGTTGATTTTTTAAGTAACATTTTAACGTGTTTTTTAAACCTAGGTTCTGTTTTATTTTTTAATCGATAATGGTGATTTGGAAGCACTTCGTGCCATGGAAGAAGGGGAAGCGCTGAAGCAGGTTGTCGATGCGGTTTTTGACATGGTGCTTTTGAATACAGACTGTGTGCATCGGCCACGCCGTGTTCTTCTACACACTGGGGATACTACACACCGTGATCTGTTCCCTAGTATTGAATACGCCCGATCTTTTTGAGAGCAAATCCCCCCCCCCTCCCCATGCCTTTTGCATGTCCCTCTCGCCTTTCTTGGACACCGGGGGTCGATGAGGTGCGGAACCTAGCCTTGGCCGACGTCATTCGGCTCAATTAAGGAGATATTTATCAAGTCTGAAAGGCGGATCTGTTGCGTGCTGGGTGTTTTTTTTTTTTTCGTTTTGTTTTGTTTTTTTTTTTTGTTTGTTTTTGTTCCCCCCCCCTTTCCTCCAGACCTGGCTCTGTCCGCTGCGAGGCTGCTGCGATGAACCCGGTGAATGCCACCGCTCTGTACGTGTCAGCGTGTCGTTCGGTGCTGCAGTGCGATCCTCGGGACTCACAGTCCGTAGCCGAGCTGTGCAAGCTCCTGCCTTTCTTTAGGCAGTCTCTTTCCTGCCTTGTTTGTGGTGAGTCATGGTTCTTTGGCCCATAAAATTAATCTCTTCGTTTTCAGTGTTTACTGGGTTTTTTTCTCCAAAGGAGATGTCAATCTTGGTATTTTTTTGTATTTATGCAATAACTTCTCGCCCCTTTTCCACTGATGCACGCCTGTTATTTAACGCGGTTCACCGCATGCATCGTGAATATTAACGCTCACCGCCAGATAGGAGGATAAGACCCTCGACACGGAATCGGCTCCGCTAACGATGGTGCGGCTAGTCCCGTGAATGGTCGGCGGTTCCTTTCCTCCATGGTGTTGTTCTTTTCGTGCTGATGCTAAAATGATCAATCAGATTTTCATGGCTGATGTCTCGACGTTTGCAGTGCTGTATAATTTCACAATTGCAACACCTTCCGCTTGCCGGTCATTATATAACATTCCCCGCCGGTCCGTTTACAAATAGCAGCCTGCGCCTGTTTTCGCCGGAACACCCCTACGATGTACACATTGTCGGTTTGACACTTGAGCAAATGCTGCCGTTTCATGTGCTTTCTTAAAACAATGGCAACGGGGAAAGGTTTAAATGATTTGTATTTTTATAGGTAGTAATGCACTTATTGGTTTGCATAGGACTAGCGAATTTGTGGTTTGCCGAACCTACGGTATCTGGTTTAACTTGGGTACCCACCTCCTGTTTTTGTCTTTTAACACTCGAGTAACCTGAATGTTTAGGTCGTTATAGTCAATCGCGTGCACCTATTATGTGCTTCTGTGTATTGTCTGGTAGGATGCATGTGTCCTCTAGATGTTCGTAAAGGGATGATTTGATTTTTAATTGACTGCGCTGCATTTCGCCGTAGGTGGATCGCTTGTAGAGCGGATACAGGGGTGGTAAATCTCCTTTTTTTTTTTTTTTTTAGTAAGCCGCACCTCCATCTGCAGCACATTACATACACGTCAGTTACGAGTCTTAGCGACAGCCGTTGCTAAGGAAGCCAGTCTGAATACTCGGCGCTAATTATCGTGTTTAACCCTTTCGCTGTGCGTCAGAAAGGAAACAATGTAGTTGGTCCTGGGGGTATCAAATTTACATGTTTTGCACGCTGAAATATGATAGATCGCTGTAGCCGATGTCAAACGGAAATGGCTGCTTTTATTTGGCTATATTTATTGGATTTTAACGACTGGCTTCCAAGCTTTGCAGCACAGCAGAATTAAATTGAACATTATGATCAGGGTGTCTTAAAAATACCTGTATTTATATATATTTTTGTGAGTTATGGCCAGACTGCTCTAAAAAATACTTTGCGTTTAATTTTTTTTTTTAGGGAATTTGCTTCAAGATCCGATTGCTCCGACCAACTCGACTTGCCAGCACTATGTGTGTAAAGGCTGCAAAGGTCAGAAGATGGTGATGAAGCCGTCATGCAGTTGGTGTAAGGACTATGAGCAATTCGAGGAGAACAAGCAGCTCGGCATCCTGGTGGAGTGTTACCGGAAGCTCTGTGAGTACATGGCGAGCTCCCCGCTGCTGTCGCAGATCGCCAGCGACGGCTTCCCGGAGGTCCTGGCTCTGCTGAAAGAGGGCTTTCCTCCGACCGCCAGCGCAGCAGAGGAGTCGCAGGGCACCGCCCCAGTCGCCCTTTCACATTCCCCATTGCCTTCGACCTCGGAACACCAGGGTGACCGCATTCTGCCGGAACCCCCTGTCGAGCCCCGGGAGCCGGTTCCGGACGCGGTGGCCGGGGTGCCCAGCGTCAACGGCATGCATGGCTGCAACGGACTGAGCATGGAGGAGCTGACGTCGGTCGCCGCACCCTCCCCAGGAACCATGGCCCCGACGGTTGACGGCAGGGAGCTGAAGCTGGAGGGCTTTCCGGACGGGATGCCGGTCTGCAGGGCAGCCGCCTCGGAAGAGCTCTGCAGCGACGGCATCGATATCTCCAGCTTTGGGGAGGACATCAAGCCCAGCGGGGACTCGCTGCTCCTCACTGTAGAGGAGGTGCTCCGGACCCTAGAGCCCGACACTGCGGCGGAAGACTGTGCCGACGTCCTGCCGTCTGGCTTAGAGCCATCGGGCGACCTGAGCAGGCCGTTCACCGACACCCGGCAGCCCTCACTCCCGCTGGACCCCGGCGTCTTTCCTTCCCGGCACCCCGCTGTGCCTCCTCCACCACCTCCCTCGGGGATCTCTTGCTCAGCGGCCACACCTAAGGCGGCGCGGCTCAACCGCAAGCGGTCGCGCTCTGAGAGCGACAGTGAGAAGATCCAGCCCCTGCCCATATCTAGCATCATCCAGGGGCCCCCGATAGCGGCTGCCGCTCCCATCTCGGTGAAGCGGGAGCCCAGCAAGATGTTGGTGCAGCCGGTGGCTGCCGTCCCCAACGGGGGGCCGCCCAAGGTCAGCAAGACACTGCTGGTCTCCAATAAGGGGATCAAGAAAAACCCCGACCATGGGCCCAAAAAGGCCTACACCAAGGTCAAGCAGGGGGTGCCTAAAACCAAGGACAAAACGAAAGACCGCTTGCCTGGTGCCAACCTGATACCTGGAAGCCCCACCAAAGTGGTCTACAAGAAGCCCCAGGAGAAGAAAGGCTGCAAGTGCGGTCGGGCCACCCAAAACCCAAGTGTTCTTACGTGCCGCGGCCAGCGGTGCCCCTGCTACTCGAACCGCAAGGCCTGTCTGGACTGCATCTGCCGCGGCTGCCAGAACTCCTACATGGCCAACGGCGAGAAGAAGCTGGAGGCCTTCGCCGTGCCGGAGAAGGCGCTGGAGCAGACGCGGCTCACGCTGGGCATCAACGTGACCAGCATCGCCGTGCGCAGCGCCGGCACCAGCAGCGGGGTCCTCAACGTGGCGGCCGGCTCGCCGGTGCCCTCGTTTCTTGCCGCCAGCCCGCATGAGGACAAAGGTTACGATGAGACTCTGGACATGAGGTTCGACTGCTGAGCTCCAGCTGCAAGCACCCCTCCCTCTGGCAACGTTTATTTTATTATTATTATATTTTAAAATGCTGCGGGCAGGAAGTAGAGGTGGTTGAGGCACTACACCAAGGCAGCTATGGTTGAGTACCAGTTTCACGTAGTCAGTCCCGACTGCCAAAGCTCCTGCCTGTACGTCCCTGAGGGCAGCGCCCCTTCTGTGTGGCGCACTGCCGCGGGTTTGACAGCAGAGGGCGCTGTTACTGTGAGTCACACGTCCGCCGCAAGCAATTTACACTTAACCACCTCCAGCAAGAGAGGCCCGGTGTCATGGCGGTGGGTCCCGCTCGACCCCGAAATTGGGCGAGACGTTCAGGCCATGGCGCGCCATGGAGACGGTAACTTCGGAGAAGGCCGGTTGTATTTATAATTGTTTTTTTTTTCCGTTTGTTTTTTTTTTTGTTTGTTTGTTTTTGTATGCACTCATCAAATTCCATTTAAAGACGTGTTTTATAAGTGACGACAACATTTTGCAGTATTTATTGGAACTTGGCCTAGCGGAGTCCCGTCTGCTAGTCCGCCATCGCCGGGCCTCCGTCCCCCAGAAGCAGGCTGATCGGGAGTCGTTCCCGTCCGGGAGAGAACAGAAATATCTCGCTGTCCTGTTTGTGCTCGGTTCTGCTGTTTCACATGCCATGTGTTCTCCACTGGGGCATTCAGAAACCTGTATTATATATATGTGTGACGTAATTCCACAAAAAAGCAAACTTTTCTAATGGTATTTATTTTATTCCACCCATCCACCCCGTACCTTACTGAAAATGATTCATTTTCCACGTCTGCAGCACAACACACCATCAGCAGTCGCATCCTCCCCCCCACTCCCCTTTTTCCAAACTGTCGTAATGAGTGACATCTTAAATCCTGTTCTGCGGGCATGAATCTCGATTAGTCTTTGCCACTTTTTAATGGATAGGTGTGCATCTGCCTTACCTGCACTTCGTCTTGGCAGGGACCCCGGATGAAGCACTTAATGTGATTAATAGGCCAAATAACAACGGAACCTACTTGGTAACCATAGCAATATCACTGTAGAACACTACATAGTCCCCCCCCCGACCTCGGAGGCCTGTTTGTTTACATTGTATTCACAGGATGACTCACGCTAGTCCTACAAGCACCTGTGTAGGAGCTGTGAGTGAGTCTGATAGTAAAGGCCAGCCTTCGTGTCTGCGTCTGTCTTTCCCAAGTCTGTCTGTGCTGGATTATGAACGTGTGATTGAACGTGCGGGAAATTACCTAGTGTATTTAGGGGGGCTGGAGGGGGGTATTAATAAGTGTCATGCGGGGGGTGAGCTCTGCAGCGCATGTTCGCCACAGCTGGGGTTTGTGTTGGCTGGGGTTTGTGTCCGGGAACACCCTGATGCTGAATAAGGGGGTGGTCTTTTCCATTTCATTGGTGATTGAAAGTACCCTGCCTCCCCCCCCCCCCCTTCATTTTTAATTCAGCTGCTATTCTGCAGACTTTCACCCGCAGACTGACAAAATTTTCAAATGTAAGACGAGTGTTGGCCGGAGACATCCAGGCCGAGCCTGATTGGCTGGAAGGCGGCCGCGCGTCACACAGGGTGTATGAATAGAGCATGTGCGTGTTCTCCAGTGGTGGCAACGCCTTCCGATTGTAGTCTCTCCTCGTGTCATATCCTGTGAATGTTCAGGTAGTGTTTCTCAAGCCATAGGAAGAGAGGGACAAAAATGCGATTGATGTCCAGTCTGTACCTTTTTTTTTTTTTTTTTTCTGTTTTTCATTTGCAAGAAGTTGGGGGAAAAACTATTTTTGATAATGAGTAAATATTGAAAAAAAAATGCCATGTAGTTTGCTTGGGTTTTATTTACAGTGAGCAGCCCTTGTTTTTACCCCACTAGTACCTCAATAGCTTTATGGGTTTCTGTTTGTTTTTTAATCTGTTTTGCTTTTGTTACATATTTGTTTATTGACCAAAAGGAAAAGAGGATAAATTATTCAAAGCTGACTGAAGGTGCTGCCCACCCCCAACCCCCCCTGGATGCTTCACTGTGCTGTTATGGCTGATTTGGGTTCCCCTTAATTGATTTGCTTAATCATTTGTTGCAGAGTTTTACTAAAATGGTTGATAACACTACTATAACTCTGCAAGACCAAATATTTGGACAGTACTGCACCGTTAGACCAGGTAAACATAGTCTGTGTCATTAGAGATGTAGAATGTCTTGGTTTTGCAAATACTCTTGGTTAATGTTAGAACCCTGATTACATTCTTGGTGTCGACAGTTCAAGTTGCTGGACTATAAACGAGTTCCCTGTAATTGCTGGTATATTCACTGCCACATTTTAAAATATGTAATGCAATGATCAATAAATGATAGTTTTCTACTGCTACGTTGTAGATGTATCAAACCGCAGGTCTCCAGGTGGGAGGGGACCCCCATGCCTGCCTCTTGTATTACATCTGGATGTTCTTGTATGTTGTAATAACCAGCATGCTTGTCTGGACCAATTAAGAGAGACGTTTCCTGGGAGGAGCAAAGTGACTGGCCCCGCCTTCAGACTCACTCATTGGCTATTGGTTTTCCAATGTCCTTTTTTCCTTTGCTTATCAACATAACATGCAACGGGCAGCATACTGGTTCAGCCTAGTGCCATGGAGAAGGCGAAGGAATTGGATGCCCACCTAAGGTGAGAAGCCGAAGATTATTACATCATCTCAATCTGGGTCGGAAGATGGTTTTGGCGACGTTTTCCCCACACCCACCTCTTAAGAAGGGAATGAAATCGGTTTACATTAATTTATACAACCTACAGACCCTGTAATTTGACAGTAATGTCTCTTCCTATTGTCGGAATGAAATAGTGCATAAAATCACACATTTGTAGCATTATTTCTATATGCTTTTTAAAAAAAAAAACAAACAGGCAAAAACGATTAACAACCGTGAAGACATTGAATGCACTTTCATACCTGGGTATATTTATGTACTTATTGCATAGGATAGGTGAGCCATATACCCTAAGAAACTGGTTCCAAAGGCGCCCTTGTAATATTCCACTGCTGAACTGTATCATTTATAAATATTTAAAGCCGAAGCGGTTGTGGAATCCGTAGTAACAGTATTTTTATTCCAACCTGAATTTCTCCCTTTCCTCCACAAGGGGGCAAAGTAATCTCATTAATACCGATGAACAAGGCAGTACGGCGACTAAAAAAGCATTTTTTTAAAAAAGGATATTTGTCAAAAAGGGGAAGGTATACTTTTTTACGTTACGTTATTTGAAATGGCCATGCTGTATTTGAAATAAGAGCATAAAAATACCGTTGGCTACATGCGCACGATTATGTTTTTATTGCGCCGCTGCGACGATAATTTTATTTCGTGCAGACATTGTTATGTGTTAGTTTGTACTTATGGACGAGATAAGCGTATAAGTATGCTAGGGTGCAGTTTATGCTCTGCAACCAAAAAAAACACGCTTCGAGAAGCCTCATTCCTACCCAGGAAATACAGACGCGCACGGCGCGTGCGCAGTATGTAATGCGCCGCAGTCAGGCCTTCCCCTTATCTTGTGACTATATGATGCCGGAAAGGTGTTTGACTTAGAAGTCTACGTTACTGATAAACATCACACTTCTTTGAATACTGTATTTACAGTGTACTTTGACAGTTTGAAAAATCATTACGGTTCCTATGAGTAAATATAAGAGGAAAATAAATATTCTTGGTGCATAATTCTGTTACAATTGACGGCCGATTTTTGGAGTTGATTGGCAAATTATGTAATTGATAATTGCTTTACCCATTTATTTGGCAAGATGTGTGTATCCACTGCATCTGTTTTAAATAACTTTCTTTAAATATTTGCGTGTTTTAAACAAGTTAAACTTCCCAGCTAGAATTAAGCTCTTAATATAAACCTGAATAACGTTCGTCACATGTTTTATTACACACTTGTGTGTAATTGTTACAAATAGGCTACTTGAAGTATGAAATCATTTGATAAGTGTGTGATAATAAAATAGTCAAACCAAGGTTAACTATCAAATGTTTTATTGATTAGCATGATATATCAAAAAGACTGGAAGGTATTATCTACAAAGAAACAGGTGCGCTTGGAGTCGTAATTTTCAACAAATTATCAAGTGCAAACCCAATTTATTTCAAATAAGTATACAAAAATTAAGACATTTTTAATGTCACTTATTGGTATGAATCTGTGATTTGACTGAGTCACCACTGCCAAACGTTTAAAATACGGCGGCCGCTAAGCTTTAGTTTAGAAAACAGGGCAGTTTTGTTGAATAACAACTGCAGCTTCATAGCTCCTGCTTTCCAGTGAATCTAAGGTTTATTCACCAAAGGTGGGTGATTTGTATTAGGTAATATGTATTTGCTTATTTTTTATTTTAAGAAAGAGAGTGCTCTTGTATAAAGGAAACTTTTTATAAAGTGTTACCTGGGTGAAAAAAAAGTCACTCAGTGTGGACTTTTGTCCAGAACAAGCTGAGCATAAGAACGTGTTGGTAAGTTACAAATTCCATTCCGCTATGATTGCCGATCGAACCTGCTGCATCGCTCCACTGATCAACAGCATAGCCGCTCTGATTAATGTGGACCAGAATCTCTCTCATGGTCAACATTCTTTTATTCTGAAGTCCCGTCACACTGGCTATGTCAGCTGACCTCTTCGCAGCCTATCAGTTACTTTCCAGTACCTAGGAGGACAAACTGTCACTCAGGAGGTCACCAGCACTGACAGGGAAGTTCAACCAGTCTCTCTTAAAGTCTCACTCCCAAGATCTTGGACAGAAAGACACAATAAACCAGTAGATCAGATGCTTACTGATCAGGAGACCTTCATCACTTTGTTCTTCCACCTCTGTTTCCATGAGGTGTCTTCAGTTCTACATAAGGAACAAACCAAACTCTTCTTTATTAGCTGACCAGAAAAGCACCAAAAAAGCTTGACTTCTCATCCATGTCCACAGTGCTGATGTTGCTGACCGACACAAAGAGCCGGTCTCCCACACCGAGCTGAACCACGCCGGCCTGGTAAATGGAATAGAGGCCGTACTCTGCATCTCTGGACCAGCAGGTGGTTCGCGCATTCTTCATGAGCAGGATGGGAGACGGGTACGACGCCACCTTCTTGTAAATGTATTGCAGCATTTGCTTGCCACTTAACGCGCTCGTCGGCCCGTCTGCGACTTCATCCGTCTCCTCCTCGGAGGTCTGGGAGTGCCTGAAGTAGGTCTGTGAGTAGACGTAATACAGACCCCTCTGGGGAATGATGAGCTCCCCGTTGTGCAGTTCCATGTTGTGCAGAAACGCCAAGCCTCGTTTCGACTCCCATGCTGGAATCTTTTGGCCCAGAACATTCCTTGTGGACAGACCTGCAACAATCAGTCAAGCAGTCTCACATCAGTGCTGTAACTAAGCCCTTAAACTGATATTATATGATTCTCTGATGGAAGTGATATGATATGCATTAAATCAGGGGTCTCCAGCTCCGATCCTGGAGAACTGCTATCCAGTAGGTTTTCTCCTGTACCTGGCTTCCGATGAGCCACACCTGTTCCTGGTGTTCCTGAGAACAGCTGTGGCTCATCACAAGCCGGGTAGGATAGACGACCTGCTGCACAGTAGCTCTCCAGGACTGGAGTTGGATTCCCCTGCATTAAATGGCTTTTGAGGCACGGGATGTAGGCAGAAGTTTTCTCAGATCCAGACGGACATTAAACACACCATTGACCTGCACCTAAGGAAGCAGCGCTTGGGTAAGTTTGCTGAAAGGACAACGGCTAATCTGCTGATTTTCCAAGTAAGTTATAGGGACGCCTCTTCTGCATTTGCTGGTAGCATGACATGGATCCAAAGCTTCCTCCTGTGTTTACTAGTGGGTCCAGTCATTGCCTCGTTTGCAGATGCCTGTTTCGTTCCACTTCGCATTGCCTCACAGGCAGTGCGACGCATAAGCAGTGGCAGATGTCAGGAATAGTTTCTGTTTGCGAGCATTCGTTTTCAGATTTGCGGAGTGCTCTTCGCTGCCTGTGGAATGGACACCCTGGGGCTCTAAATACAGAGGACAGGCAATGCTCCATCCATCCATCCATCCGTCCAACAAGGGTCATAGCTAGAAATACCCTGAGAAAGCGCCATCTTGAGCCTACTTTACATTATGTATTATTCTAATTTTATGTATTCAAGGGTCCCCGTAAAGTACTGGGCCCCCTGAATCTACCAGGGTATCTATGCCCCTACTGCCTGCATCGATCGTATATAGCCGGGGCTCTTTTTGTGACAAAGGAACCAGCAGGACTGCATGTGCGTGCCATATGTTCCGAACCGGAGTGCAGTGAGGGAACATGGAGCCGTACCCTCTGTTCTGCCCGTTTCGGCCAAATGGCCTCCGGTGACGTGAGCTGCGATTTCAGGACGAGGGGGAGCATCTTGATCCTCCATTGTCAAATAAGGCAGCACCCTGGAGATTTCCCCTGCAAAATAAACAAAGGAAAAAAAACAGTGTGGTTAACCGTTGCTAGTAACAGAAGTTTGCTGGTCCTCGAGGCTGACATATTCAAGGATTGTACCTTTCACTGCCGATGATATTCCTTTGTCATAGTGGCCAGACATCGTCTACAAAAAAATACGTGTTTGGTCAGACTGTGAAATTTAACACGTACAGGTATGTCACAAATTATTTTTCCAAAGTATCAACCGAATTTCAAGATGTGCCTTTAAAATTTAACAGAGGATACCTTTTCAATCAGGAAATGAATCTGTTGCGAGACCTGCCAGCAGGGGTCATCCTTTCCACTCTCCAAATCATACTCCGCTCTCAGGTTTGCCCGCATCAGACACGATATACTGCTTTTTGAAAACGTTTCTTTCATCTGCAGTTGGACACAGAGTACAGAGCATTTTAAATCATAAAACCAGCAAACCGTGCCTTTCACTCACATTTTTCCTGAATAAAGCAACCTTTGTGTTCAGCGTAGCTTCAGAAGAATATTGTTAATCGCACGGGATTTTTGGATTGTCAGACATCTGAGTTTAATCTTAAATCTTAAAATACTTTTAGAATATATATTTTATTTATATTTCACAGTACATGGAAAACCGTGATCTAAAGCGTAAGAAAGATACTTCTTTCTATTATTCCGATCACCTTCAACTATATAAACTTTAATAATCAGTTGCCTATTATGCGCTCCGTCCATTGTTCAAACAGTGGGCCAAAGTCCATTGGTCAAACACAAGGACAGCTTGACCGAGAGCAGCGTGAAGCGCGACTTCGCCCCACGCAGTCATTAACTCCCTTGCGGAAGACACGCACCACACTAACACCCAGCTGTCCTGGTCACTCTTTTTCACTCTTTGCATGCACTCTATCATGCATTTCCCCCCCCCCCCTATCCTGTAGCAAACTTTGGAAGTTTTGTCGACGTGGTTGTGCGATCTTGCGTCTCTCGCTTCCAATATCTTACCGTGCTTAAGATGCTGCTGAAGTATATAAACGAAACAGCCACCGCGATAGTTTGCAGGAGAATAGCTGCTAAAAATAGTAACGCTAGCCACTGCATCGAACTCCTCATGCTCATCGTTGCTTCTTGCAACGTTACGTTCACTAAGATTTACCGCATTGTACTACATAAAAAACACGAGGCGGAGCTTGGGGTGGGCGTCTCAGAGAAAACTTGCATCGAGAGCCGCGTTACAATGCACCAAATGTTGCATTGTTATTTCGCGTCCTGGTCGGAGGACTGGGCTTTGTCTACGCTTTTGTTTTTAGTTCATAAAGGACATCAAACGCAAGAGACTTCTACTGAATGCAAATACATGTCATTTTTCTATTTTCTTTGAGCGTTATCTTGAAGTAAAAAGGCCGTACAAATTAGTCTTCATTAAATAAGAATTATAAGTAACTGCAAATTTGACAAAATTCTTTAGACGTCCTGAATATGTAATTCAAACTCATGTCTGTTTTTGTTTAATATTTGCCTACTCCAGGTTACTTTTAACGATTCCTTCTGAAAATCTGCCAGTGTTTGCGTAATGTGTTCCTTAGAAAAATTAAAAAGTCAAACCCCAGGTAAACTTGACTTATAGCTCGTTGTTCTTTTCAATAGATAGAATCTCCCCTGTTTTACAGTGTATATTATTTGTATGTTTCAACCTCTGGATGCGATCACCTCGGCCCCATCATACTATGTGGGCGACAGCCGAAGAAGCGGGATCACATGAATGCCCTAACTGTTCAGAGCGGACATCGTGTATATGTATCTATTGTATAGGTTATGCTTGATTAATTGGTCCTCATTAAGAACCACCATAACACTGAACCATAATTTATTAAGAATAAGCACTGTTGATTTGCTTACAGAGCACTGCAGCACGTGGCAGATTCATTGGTATAACATATTTTCCTTTCTATAATTCTGCAGACTACGCGTGCAAGTTAGGCCATTTAATACAAACATTTTCCATGGTTGAAACAATGTCCTTCGCTGCACAGAAACAGGATCCGGTCCAGCCAATGTAAAATTTGCCCGAAACTCGGGGTAGTCTGCTTTACTGGTTTTCAGTAGCAGGTTGACGTGGGTAAACCAAAATGGCACGGCTAAGCAGATTTGCAGGATCCGATTTCTGCTTTGGGACACTGTTGGTATGCAAGCTGAGAGGGACTTTCCAAAAAGGTCTGACAACTTTATTATGGTTTTTTTTTCATTGTAAATGGAACAATGTAAAGTCACACCCCTGGAGAATAAAGGTATGAAGGAAGTTGGTGGAATTATAAAATGTGGACCCCGACCACTACGTACCCCCGAAGCACTGTTAAACGTTGTCGGATAACCACATATAGTTTTAAAAAAAAGAAAAGAAAAGAGTATTAGTCTTTCCTTGCGTAATTTAATTGTGTGAGAGATTTACTTTCCATAAAGGTCTGGAACATTACTTCGAGAAAGCATTATGGACAGGGAAGATAATTCCAGATGTCTGCGAGCTGCAGGTATTATATTCACTCTTGACAAGGTGCTGGTGACAGACCGTCCTGTTCATTTAAATCAGCCAATGAGGTCAGTATGAGGCATGCAGGGAGGCCGCATAGGGGCCCCTGACTAGCAGTCCCTCCCCCAGCACCCCCAACCCCCAACAAAGTACAGTGAAATGATTTTTGGAATTTCCCCGAACAAAATGTTAGCTCGGGGATAAAATGGCTACGGCTCTCCGAGTTACAAAAGCAGCCTCGTGGCAAATAAAAAAGCTGATCTGGAGACATCGCCCATGTGGGAACAGGTAGTCTCTACCCCCTTCAGTAGCCCTTTAAAATCAGAATTTTTCGTGTTTAATAAGTTACATTAGCATGGAGACGCTAGTAAATACTGATAAGCAAAACGGGTGGAGTTTAATTATTGGCGTCTTCCCAAAGCTGAAAAGACTCATGCGGCGTCGCTAGCTTGTGGTGTCTGGGGAACACGGCGGTATCCCAGTGATACATACCGGCTGGGAGCAGAAAGTGCCCTTGTACTTGCTTTTCTGGTCTCTTAAGTGCTGACCGCTGTTATTTGGTCTATGTTGGGGGTGATAAGGGGATTGTGCAGTGTGTGAAAGGCATCCTGTGCTGAGTAGTCCTGCTGGACATACTAAGCTCTTACTCAGTGTCTGGTTTTCATGTTCAGTCATCCCTGGGTAATCTTTTTACTGTTAAACCATATAAAAAAGCACTTTCTTAGGCTTCTTAATTCCCAAAAGTAATCCCGAAATAACTGCACCAGCCACCTATCTTTAAGTACTAAAAAGTGCTTTTTGTGAACTGGTTTGAGCGGTAACAGCGATTAAAGTAAGCATCCGATCAGAACTATGCCGTTCGGCTCTGTGTACCGCAGATACTGTAACCGCCCCTCCGACACACGGCAGGATTATGCGCATTTGACGGTTTGCGCCTCTTTGTGGTCTCGAAGCATCGTTTGAGTGTGAACGTGCGAACACCTCGCAATGTCATAAACGTGAGTTTAGGGGAAGAGTGGAAAAAAAACACTTTAAAATTTCTGCTTACCGACAAAGTTGGCAAAGTAAGTCTCTGAGGATTACATGCCAGAGGAATGCATAACGTTGCTTGGCCGTGCTGACTTTTCAGTTCAGGTTAACTTGAAGATATACACATACCTTCACATGCACAAATATAGTACAGAATACCTCCCCTAAATGCTCTTTTCCCTTTCTTGTAACTACATGCTGGGTATGGGATATTTTCTACCCCATTCGTCTCACTCTTCACCAGATGTGAGTTCATTTCAGGGGATATTGTGCCAGCTAACGGCCAGGAAAATTAAATATACTTTTTTCAATTCAAAGAAATGCTAACACGCACCAAAATGGTGTACACTTTCCATGCTGTTCTGGTCAAAGTTTTTGCGTCCGAAAAGTGCTTATGCAGATCTCAACACAAATGAGTCATGAACTTTTGAGCAAGGATTGTAGCTAATCTGTACAGAGGGATTTTGACGGCACTTAAAAACATTTACAACTCTCAAGCCTTTGTGGAAAAAATACTCTAGACATTGCTATTGCCTCAGCAAATTGTTTCCTTCCAAATAAATCACACTAAGTAGTACGTGTTTGGATTGTGTAACCATGTACTTTAATATTGCTGAATAAAGGAAGTGGGACGCACGAAATAGCTTCACAAACACAATCTATGAGTAATCTATATAAAAGTAAAAGCAGCGTCCAGAAAAGCACCAAAAGTTTGCGTTTATACTCATAATAAACACAATATCAAAAAGTGAATTTTGTTACTAAATTCACAGTACTAAAAATATTACAGTGCACGTAGTCACAGAACCCAATTTAAACCCCTTTTCAGGGATTCCAATCTGGCACCAAAATGTGGAAGAGGAGTTATGCAATTTCGACATTTGCACTTGAATACACACCTCGAGGCAATGTAAATGTAACCCATTACAGAGAGTTTTTTTTTTGTTTTGAGGGCGGTGCTTTCCCTGTAGTAATTCTTCTTATAAGAAAAACAGGCAATGTGCATTAAATTCTGTTTGTCTCCCCAGAGAAATATTCAGTAGACCTTGTACAACGCGCAGCCAAATACCCTTTATATTTTATCAAAAGATCCACTAAACACGCATTTTTTCATATTCCATTGAAAACATCAGTGTGTCAGAGCCGCCCACAAGAAAAATACCTTCATGCGGACACCCACACCAACTATTAACAGTTACTCAGCTCTCTCGGAGTTTATGAAAAACAAATTTTGCCTTTGGACAGAAAAAATCTCCCTGACCTTGTGAGAAAGGGTTGAAACTTTTGTTTTCATTAAAAGAACTGCCATTATTTTACACTGACAACACCTCGGAGTCTTGCGCCATGCCAAAAACACAAGAACATTTAGCCAAGAATATATAATTAAAAAACTATTATATACGAAGATCGATGAAAATATCCATTAAAGTTTTAGTTCATTATTCCACAAGGGGGCAGCATTCACCTTCTAAGTAGTTGGAGCAAATTTCTACCTTTTGTAGAAATTGTAGCAAATACCTACCGTTTGTTTTATCTGTGACAAGTTTCTGTATTATTTACAAATTGATATCAGATGTTGCTTAAATATCACTTAAGTGTTTGCAAAGTTAGTTAGTTAGTTTTAATCCTTTGCTAAACTGTCTTGGTGCTGAAGCTTTTTATTGATCTGCCACTTTGGATCAGGTAACTTGCTGGTGGAATACTGTATGGTCAATATACAGAACTGGAAAGCCCCTGGAGTCTACTTTATAGAAATCGTTAGTGTCACAACCAGCGCATTAGAGAGCATAAACATGGATCAAGACAAGGAACCTGTGAGAAAAAGATCAACACCTAAGGCACAATAAATCAAAGCCTACAGGTACAAGGCAGGGAACAACCCAGGATGGGGCACCATCCCATCACAGGGCACAAGGCAGGGAACAACCCA